TGAATATTGAGCTTCGTCGTAATCGTCGCGGGGGAAGCTATTCAGTAAAATGGATATCGTCAGCTAGCACATGCCAACGCCCTGACAACAATGGCACGTGCCACCCATTCCGAACCTGAAAACACAAATCGCCCAAGCGAAGTTTATGCAGTATTTTTCAAAAGTTAACTATAGGCACCCAGTTTCTCCAAGCAAAAAACTCAAAGGATTCCTCTCACGTGCTATAAATAACATCCATCTCACAGTGGTTGGTCTTGGGCATGGCAGAACCTCGCTGGGGTGGGATACCAGGAACTCAAACGCATTTCCGCTTTGATATGACAACATTTATCATCTTTTTCTCCTGTCAGTTTTGCTTACACTGCAGCAGTCAATGCTGAATTCCGGGTATCTCATCATTGTTGATCGGAAACCCGGAGGAGAGGCTTGTTCGATGAGTGGGGAGTAATAAACGTATGTGAATCGGTAGGCTTTGGCATATCATCTGCGCTTTCCGCATCCGTTTCACATGAGGAACTAATTGATCAGACTCAGCGACGCATGAACAATTAGACGAAATGGACGAGATTTACTGCTCTATCAATATCAGTATGTATGATGAATCGGTCCAAATGATCTTTGGAATTTCGATAAATACTCGTTATAAGCTAACCAATCGTTTAGTTTTTACAGAAATGCGAAATCATCAAGGTAAAGTTTGCTTTCGAACGCTTTTTCGCCTCCTTTTCTATCTGGCTTCAGCATGACCCACACCAGCTTCGTCTTTAAGTCCGTACTGTTAATGAGTAACTATTTAGTTGGGGTTTGTAATATGTCAAAGTTGAGTGTACGGTAGGAAAGTGGCTAGAATTTCACACCTGAGCAACTCATATCGAAATTGGCCGCTTTTCAACCCGACGCTCATTTACTATGTAAACCGCTCCATCTGCAACTGCTACTTCCCTTGGCTTGCCTGGGTAATAACCAAGGTAAAATTCCGATGCCATATACTTTCCCAAACGCCATTCAATCCTTTTCTTCCGGGAGGTGTAGGTGTGCATGAAAGCTTTCTTGTCCTCTTCCACAGTTGCTTCAACACATGACTAAGCCTTGCTCCAGTATTATTGCAAGATCTCAGAGTTCCGTTTTAGAAATCTGCCCTGACTGAAACAAAAGACATCACAAAAGATGAAGCCGTGACAGAAGAACTCGAAAAGCTCAAGCAGGCTACGGAACTGAAGAAGGTGAAGCAGGTGGGTGTCAAGTCTTCATTTCTTTAACTTCTTTACTCTTTTTTACCTACTTGATGAATGAAGGACACAAAAACCTTTCAAGAACAGGTGGCAAGCAAAGGTTGGAAGTAGGTAGGGCTTATATTAAATGTTTGATTATTCAAAATTCAACTGTGCAGCGTGTCATAATTAAGAGGAAAATTAATGCTCCACAAACAATTGTTGGTGCTGATAAGCGAGGAGTCTGGAAGGAAGTGTGACAAAGGAACCAAATCAACCAAATGAGGAAATGAAAGGTGGATTTGTAGGTAGTGGTTGACCAGAAAAGTCAGAATGATCGAGGTGAAGTGGGGAGTTATTGGGCCTGTATTACTATGATGGCAATCTCACTATTCTCCCACATGACTATAGGCCTGAGCGAAATCATTTTGCATCGGTGAAAGTTAGGAAGTACCAGTCATTTATCTTTCGGATTCGAGCAATGTTCACTGCAAGCAACGTGAAGGTGTGCAGTATACTTGGTTGGAACGGAGCACTAATAATAAAGGCAGGGCTCATTACCACCATCTGCGTAATACCTCATAGTAGGTCTACTTCATAACAGGTGGGGGACAAGAATTCGGAATAGTAAGGTTGATATAACGTTGTTCGCCTTGTACATGTCCTTACTTCATGGAAGAAGAATCTGGGAGTCATAAACATTCGATGGTGTTGTTATTGAAAGTTGAGGACCAGAGGGAGAAAGGAAGAAAGGGATAGGATCAGGCACAAATGGATAGGATCAAGTCAAGGACGAATCGGAAACGAATATTTCAAGGCGAAACAGTTTTTCGACATAATATTTTCTGCTGCGGAATCGGAAGGGAAAGCGAAATGGGGTGGAAACAAGTTGGGGAATACTGTTAGGGTAAAGGGAGCAGGTCTTGAAATTTTCAGTCAATGCGGCCTCTGTCATGCGTATTCGTTACTTTTTTTTGAAGGAACTACTAAAATCGCACCTTAATTAAGAACCGATCAAATGTTTTCGTTGTGTAGCGTATGTTTGCTCAATTTTAGCCATAAAATTTCATTTTCGTTTCTTCCAAGAGAAGAACGAATCAATGGTTTTTGTCAATGGCACCTCTCTCCCGTCTTATTTTGCTAGAAACAAAACCGAAAAAATGCCGAATCAAGCAGTTATATCATCGTGTTTCGTCTGTTTTTTCAAATGATTCGGCGATTTCAGGAATTCGAAGAAGGGAAAGTGGCCAGCACAACTGCCGAAGAACTACAGCAAGCAAAGGCAGCTATTGCTCAAGAACGTCAAAAGCTTACTGAAATCGGCAAGGCACGTAGTTTTCCTTTGACAAACCACTTGATGAATGTAATCCTAATCACGGATAATTTAGGAAAAATACTCCAAGTTCAAGGATCGCTTCGAGAACCTGGATTCTACTCTGGAAGTGAACCTTGAGGAGAAGATGAAACGCTTGGAAAAGGATCTTGTAGCCGTCGGCAAAGAAACGTTGGCAAGCGCTAAAGAAAGGTGACCTACAGGCATACTTCATCTACCAGTCGATTATTCAGAAGCACAATTAGGGATTTTCGGTTATTTTTGCCTTTCTAAAATGCCCTTCCTTTGAGCGTAAAATTATTCTCAGATGGAGTGGCTCATTTTGAGACAATCTAACAACGAAGAGTGATGTGTGCTCTTCAAGTATGCATAGGATAGTTGTAGTAAATGTAGATGCATATTGGGCAGCGCTTGTGCACGAAACCAAAGAAGGAAATGCTATCGAAAAAAAAACAGGTCTTTCAAAAAAATTTATAGGGAATTTCACAATTTCCAGATTCTTTTCTATGTTGTGGAGTTTTCCACGGGAATGTCATGTAAGATACATTCAACCTTTTTATGCTCGTCTAACGTATCTAATTTCCTTTCTCTTACTTGTAGAATGACCGAACTGTCGACCCGTACTCAACACGCACTTCTTCACCTCTTCGAATGCGTCCCTTTCGGTGTAAAACCCACCGGAACTTCGAGTCGAGAATTAGTCTTGAGCACCCTTTTGAACATTTCTATGTCTGCGTGCTCATAAAGCTTCAGAGCCAAATACAAGAAGGTCGAAGGTGAGCCTCGACTTGCTTTACCAACTGCGACAACGTAAAATCCCCGAATATGTTATGCGCATAGAAATGAATAGTGTCCCTTCATGGTACTTTTATGGAAACTTAAGGGAAGTTCCAAAAGCGATCTGAACGTTTGGAAATTTTCGTCAAATGCTTTTCTGACATCCTGAAAGCATACTCATGCCAAAGTAGTATGAACGGATTTGGAGCCGTACTCTATAGACGATGTCATGGAAGGTCTACGAATAGAGTCTTCCATCGTCATACCAAT